GTATGTATTGTATGTATGTATGTATGTATGTAATGTATGTATGTATGTTATGTATGGTTATGTATGTATGTGTGATATGTATTGTATGTATGTATGTATGTATGTATGATATGTATGTATTATGTAATGTTATTATGTGTGATGTGTGTTGTGGCATGGATTGTGCGCGTTGCGTGCGTGCTGCGGGCGCTGGTTGTGTGTTGTGTGTGTGTGTATGTGTGTGTGCGGCGCGCGTGGTGTGCTGTGTACGTGCTTGGGTCGCGCTGTGTATACTGTAGAACGCGGTGTTTTTTTTTTTTTTTCTACATATTATAAGCGCATGCACACGCACGCACACACAGATACACGCACCCACACACTGCGCGGCACGCATGCACACATACAACACAGAGGCGAACATCACACACACAAACACACACACACACCCACACACACACACAACACACACAGCTGCCCACCCACACGCACACACGACACACGCATCACACAACACACGCACACACACACACCGCACACAACACGCACACACACACAGCGCACGACCCACACGCACGCCACACGCACGACCACACACACACGCACACACACACGGCGCGCTAGCACAGCACGCACACATGCACGCACACACCGCACACACACACACGCACGCACCACACGGCCCACACACACACACACACGCACACACACGCACCCACACGCACACACACACACACACACACACACACACACACGCACGCACGCACGCATGCACGCTACTGATTACGCGATATCAGCAACCGTCTATTCATCACCATCTGTCGCTTGGCATCATCTTTCAGCGAACGCGCCATCGTCTACCTTCGCGCCCATTCTAATATCTACCTATGCGGCTCTCCTGACCGAGATCGCGTGACGATAGTGCGACCACATCTCTACCCGTCGGCTCTTGTGAAATCGCGAGCAAGAAAATTATGTTTCGCATATCATTTTTATGCAGAATAAATATTGCCATATTTAATAACGGATTGCGGGTGTAGTAATATTACAACTTGCTCGCCTCGTATGTGGGAATGTGCGGGTATTTGCGGAGATCGCGCGTGTGCCGTCGCTGGCTAATGACAGTAATGTAACTCAGTAGACAGACTGATGCGGTTATCAACTTATTCGCTTAGCTCGAATTACTGGGGGATTTGTACTTATCACGCGTTCCTTCTCGTGCATCAATTATTGTAAAGGATATCATGTTGTCATTATATAATATAATAATATCATTATATTAATTCGTAAAACCGCAGCACACCCTTAGCACATACACGCATATATGTGGGTGTTCGCACTCATACGGACTCACATACGCGCGCGCACACACGCACACGCACACGCACGCGCGAACACACACACACATCACACACACACACACACACACACACACACACACACACACACACACACACACA